CTTTCAGCAAACAGAGGAAAGTGCAATAGCCTGAAGACAAGAATGAAGACAACCCAACCTCTTCTGGTTGGTGGAGTTTTTTCTCTTTTTTTTCATGTAATTCTCCATTGTTGGAAAAAATAGGTACCAGAGCCCCGAAAAATCTTTCATGTCCCTGATGTTCTGCTAACCTTACAGCTGTTCTGTGGAAGTTAGGGCCATCTAAAGGTTTTATAGCAAATTTTTATATCTGAAAAGTTGAGAAATTAAAGCACATTGAACCAGTGTGTTTTAATTGATGTTGTACTCTGAGAAACACAGCTTTTGCAGCAGCTTGCAAGTCTGAATGTCAGCTCCAAGTGTGGTGATTGCTGCCATAACCAGGCTCATTAACTGCAGCAGAATTACTTGTGATAATACCCACTCCTCACCCATAGGAAGATTTTCCCACATGCAGCACTGAATTTAGCATAGAATAAGGAAATAGAGTTTGGCTGGTGGAACTTTAAGGGAAAGGTTATACATTTTTTTTCACATAAGTATCTCATTTTGCTGTTCACACCACTGGTCTTTGATCAAATTAACATTTTACTGTAAGTAGGAGAGCACTCGGTTCATGCTATTCATTATCTTGTCAGGAAACAAGGAGAATAATTTAAACTGGATATATTGTGTAAGGCTTTTTTTTCTTTTTTTTTCTATTTTTAATTGGAAACCACACAGCAGTGTTATCATTGTGACCTCCTGGCTCCGCTGTGAGCAGTACAATATTTACCTGCTGTATGAAGGAAAATGGAACTATTTTGAAATATTTTGTTACCAGGGAGGTAGTTCTGTACTAGAAAACAGCGGTGTAGGAATTAGAAGGAGTTGTATGACTGAACTACGCTGAAAAATAGGATTTTGGGCAATATTGGATTTGCATGAGCTTCATCAAGGCCATTAATGTGGCTGTCACTGGTCATTGAGGGGTTTTTTTTAGGCTGTGCATAGGATTTGGGAGTAAGAAAGCCAGAGTTTTAGTACTGGCTGGTGAAAAGCAACTGTGCTGTGACATGTCCAGTACCTAAAGGGGCTCCAGGAAAGCTGGAGAGGGACTTGGGACAAGGAATGGAGCTCCAGGACAGCAGGGAATGACTTCCCACTGCCAGAGGGCAGGGATGGATGGGATATTGGGAAGGAATTGTTCCCTGTGAGGGTGGGGAGACCCTGGCACAGGGTGCCCAGAGCAGCTGTGGCTGCCCCTGGATCCCTGGGAGTGCCCAAGGCCAGGTTGGACAGGGCTTGGAGCAGCTTGGGATAGTAGAAGTGTCCCTGACCTGGCCAAGGTCCCTTCCAAACCAAGCCTTTCTGTGATTCTGTGGCTATCTCTGTATTTCTCAGCTGAAGTGGAACAGTTTCCCACAAACAGAAGGTTTTGTGAACTTTCCAGTGGCTCCAAGTTGTGCAAGATTCCTCGGGTTTAGCCATTTTCCATACTGGGCGCCTGTCTCTGGCTGCACTCTTTATTTCTTACTTCAGGAAAAATTGTTCAACCATTTCTAAGGACAAGATTAGGAAAAAGAAAATCCATTTTCCCCCAGATGTTACGAGTTTTTCTTGCTGTTTTGCTGGGGAGCCTGCTGTGCCCAGATTTAATAGAAAGGGTTTGACGAGGGATGGTTCGCTTTTTTCTCACTGTTGTATCTTCTGTTGCTTCAAGTAAAAAAGTTTAAAAAAAAAAAAAAATTGAAAAACAGCCTCAACTTTGGCCAGCCTGTAAGAGTCTGGAAAAAAGAGTTCACAGAAACTCAGCAGAATCTGGTTTGAGTTTGTTCAGGCTTTGCTGTCGGTGCCTGTCCCAGGCACGCTGCAGTCTGGCACTGCTGGTGAACATTAACCAGGCAGGTTTCGCTTTTTCTGGGTGTGATGTGAGGTTTTGGGGGGGAACAGGGAGGGGAGACGCTGCCCAGGCTGCCCCTGCCACAGCTGGAGACATCAGCATGGGAGCAGGACAGGGAGAGGGGTTCATGGTGGGGAGGGAATGGGGACAAACACTGGGACAGGGACACTTGGAGGACCTTTTGTGAGCACATTTGGAGAAGAAGCAACGAGGAGAAGAGGAAGGAGGAAAAGAGGAAGGAGAAAATCGTGGGGGTAAGGCTCATTCTGGAAGTTTGTGGATGTTCATTAGGTCGTGTGAGGTACGAGCTAGGGTTTGCCTGCCTGCAGCTGAAGGCGCCGTGGAGCACAGAGAAGACAGAAATGGTGCTTCCAGCAGCCAAAATGAATTAGGAAGGGGACAGAGTGACAAGCAGAGAGGGGTGGCAGTGGAAGAGGCAAACCCAGAGGGTCTGGCAGGGGAGCAGCACTGCAGCCACTGCACAGAGCCTCGGCTCAGGAGCGGGCAGGGGCAGCTCCTGCCGGGCTGGGAGCCTCCAGCCAGGGCTGCCGTGCAGGGAAATGTGCCAGGGGCTCCAGGAACCCAAACAAGGCTTGTGCCAGTGCAGTCAGTAATGTCCTGAAGCACTTCTGGTGGTGCAGCACAGCTCCTGTGAGGAGCAGGTTAATGCCACCGGGGGAGCAGATGAAGTGCAGGGGTCACACACAGAACAAGAGGACAAAGCAGAAGATCTACTCACCAAGCCATGTTCCTGAATTTCTCATTGGGAAAATGTCATTGGAAAAGCCACAGCAGGTCCTGTGTGGTGCTATCCCACTCCTGAACCCTCACACAGGGTGGCTGAGCACCAGCCTTGGGCTTGGCCTTTCCAAACTTGTAAGTGCTCAAATTTGAAACTGCCGTTCTTTTAACAGGGTTTTGTGTGTCATTTATAATTTATATTGCAATAGCACCCAAAAGTGCTTTCCAGACACTGAGCACATCTGTAATTCTGGCTCTAAAAAGCTTCCATTCTGTGAGGGGGGAATAAAAAAGAGTAAAATTGACCAGCATTTCCCAACTAGAATTGCCCAGAGTTTGTGCTGATGTATTTTTAACAATGCCTAGTATGAAATCTTGTCTGGTATTATTCCGAGGATCACAACAGGTGTTGGGAATTGGCTGGGGAGGCTGTGCAGAAAGGGCAGCTGACAGCTCACTGTATATGCAGATGTACCACCTATTAGCAATATCCTCTGTGGTTTGCTCGCATGCGAGCTGAATAGATTCTCCAAACAATGCTGCGCTGAATGGAAGCCATCAGCAGAATTGCTCAAGGCTGCAAAACCCATTACTTATACAGCATAGATGGAAGAGCAAGTGCCACAGTGTAGTAACTTGTCCTGCTTTGCTGGAGTTGTTCTGCAGTTATTAGATCAATATATGTAGCTGCACATCTAATAAAGTACCAGAAAATAATTTATCTCAATGTGTATTGTTAGCTCAGTATTTATCCTGATATTATCCAGCTGCATAAACAACATAAATCGCTCTTTTTGTGCCTTTTTTTGCTGCTGCTTCCACGTTTTCCAAGCACACAATAGGTTGTGTCCCCTGCTCTGATTATTGGAGCCACGTCACTGTACTTTTTACAATCACATTTTAATTACAGCTGTAGAACCTATGCAAAATCATTTAATACAATGTTGTGAGCAAATAGCGCAGATGATGCGTTTAGTATTTGATTGCTGTTAGTTTACTCATTGATTAAACATGCAGAGTCTGCTTTGACTGGTGAGGAAGTCAGAGACCACACACACACAGGGCTATAGGGCTTATTCACTGTAGGGTCTACATTTTCTATAGATTTTATATTTGCTATAGATTTCATATTCATTATAGGTTTTATATTTCTGTAAGTTGTACATTAGCTATAGCTTCTATATTCACTATAATTTTATATCCACTACAGGCTTTCTATTTGCTCTGTGTTCTATATTCACTATTTCAGATGACCTAGGTTTTCCAAAGGATTAGCAAGGAATCTGTGGCAGTTTGGGTGGCTCAAAAATGGCAGTGAGAATTCATCATTCCATAAAAGAAGGGATCCATCAGCTGGTCAAGGAGAGTTTTGAGCTTCACTGGTGGCAGCTGATGGATTTGGTAGAATTGGAGACAGGTCTTAGAAGTGGAGAGAAAAAATTATTTTGGCTGTTTTCGGAAAGCACAGCATGATTTACGTGGAGTAGCCCAGGCAAAAAGCAGTGATTACTCAAGGAGGGAAGCAGTGTGGTTTTATAACAATAAAATACATTTTTTTTAAGAAGAGAGAAGACAGTCTTGCCAGGAGGAGTGTATATTGTAAAATAACCAGGTTTTGTTCCATTTCTAACAGAAGCTTACAGACAGTTATGAAAAGGACTTTGCTGCTATTTATTGCCTGAAGTTACTGATCCATCTGTCTCTACCCAAACTCTCATACAGACAATTTTTCCTCATCATTCTCTCTCCTTTCTATTATTATTCAATATTTAGATGGGAATTTTGACCAGTGGCCAAGTCAGAGGCTTATCAGCTATTGCGTAAATCCTCAGCAGCTGGTAACTGAGCTGTGCAATATTGTCACTTCAGGGTTAAATATTGTTGAATAAATAGACCTGCTGAAAGAACAGAATCTAACAATTCATGTTTTAGGGAATAATTACTGCAGAAAGACAGCCCACAACATTGTATGTGTGTTTGAGAGAGTGGTCAGAATATCTTTTAATTCAGCATTTACCCGTGAGAATTATTCCCATGAGGAGCCTTGCAATAAAATCTGCTTGGTCTATGAGAATAGAAAGAAATTGAATAAAAAGACTCCATTTCCACTTGTATTTATTCAGTCTGGGAAATTCAGTGGGCCGCAGCATTAGTATCAGCAGGGGATTCCTTGCTCCTAGCGTTAAATTACTGTCATAATCGCTCAATTATTTCTTCCTTGTACTGTTTAAAATAAAAATCCATCACATTCTATGTTTTTTTCTAACATTTATTAGGTTGAGTGTTTAGGAAAATCAATTATATTCAGTCAGGCATGAATTGATGAATGTTCTTGTAATAATTGTCAGTTGTTAAACTGAATGTACTTTCTCTTTTCACCCCTTTTCATTTCCTTCAGAGGGCAGAGGTGGCTCAGAGAGAGGCAGAGACCTTAAGGGAGCAGCTCTCATCAGCTAACAAATCTCTCCAACTTGCTACGCAGATCCAGAAGGCACCTGATGTGGTGAGAGAAAATATTTACTGACTCTTACAGGTTTCTGACATTCCTGCAGTACAGCTCCTTCAGTTCATGCCCACAGCTATAAAAACAGCTGTTTGAAGTCGTATTTTAACTAAAAGGGAACGGTGTTCCTTCGGGATTGTGGTGGGGCTCCGCTTCTGAGGGGGTTGGTGGCTGGAGGAGACCACGGGAAGGACAGAGGTCACTTGGCTCCGTGGTGATCCATCACTGCCTGCTCCAGGTGGACAGCACAACTCTCAGAAATCATTTCACAGGACTGAGAGCATCGGCAGAGGAGGAACAGAGGCAGTGGGAGAGCCTTGGTGGCCATCAGCACGTGTGGCCCTGAGGTGTGGGGCTCCATCCCAGAGCTCCCTGCCCACTCTGCCTCTCCTCACTCCGTGTCTGGGCTGTCACAGAAACTGGAAATAAATTTGATACCACTGCAGTTTTCACTGGCTGTATCTAAACTGAGACTTGCACCTATAAATCCTTGGACAATTGAGAAGATACCCTGCACTCCTGCTTGTTTCCTCCTCTGTGTGGCTCTGAAATCCCGAGGCTGCTGATGGGACCTGCAGGCACAGGGGATTGTTACAGGGCTCCAGCTGGCCCTGGCTGAGCAGGTATCACAGATGAGCAGCCAGATCATTTTGAGTTTTGTTTGCCAAAGGAGAAATAGGAGTATTTAAATGTAAATATGCAATTAAGTGAAATTTAGTCTACTTCTAAGCAGCAGATTTAAGAAACAAAAGAAATCATTGCTTTTTTTTCCCTTGCAAGCTTTATACATGCTTGACACTGATAGCAGAGGAACACATGGCTGCCTTTAAAAATCGTTTGCAGAGAACGAGTAACAAACCATAAGTCCTCCAGATCTGTTTGGTTGTCTATTAATACAACCCAGTATTTTCTCAGAGAAGTCAAAAGATAGACAAGTAGGCTGCAAAACAAAAAATAAAAAGCCTGAATATCACTTGTAACTCTGAATTACCTGCCTCTTCCTATCTTGTGTCCTAGTCTTATCATTATTTTAACATTAGGTCTTTCTTGTATTTAATAGTACTTCTGCACTTCATTTATATTTAATATGACAACTACTGCAGGATGAAAATGATCATTATCTATCTTATTTCAGACTCTACGTTCTAGTCTCAATAGGCACAAGCAGCAGATGATTATACAACTTGTGATGTTTCATGCAAGCAAATTAGAGGTTTTTTCAAGTTAAAAGTGTAATTCAGTGTAATAGGAGAGCGTTGTTAACTGCTGTTCGTACATGCAGCTTTCTGTGAGTGCAGCGGGGTGTAGTCACTGAGAATCAAGCTGAATGTTTAGGAGATATGGAAAAGGGGATTTTGTTGTTCCTGTATTCCCAGAAAAGAGGATATGGAGTATATTTCAATCTGCTGTAGTGTCATCTTCATTTGTCAGGATGCGGCTGGGGTGAATTCTCAGCTCTTTCACCACAGATCTTTGGTTTAGTGCTCGCCATCTTCATCTGCCTCTTGCTGAATGGGTTCTCTCCTCCTTCACTGGTGCTTCTGAGGAACAGCCATTAACCTTTGTGAGATGCAGTTTGGGATCTTTAATGGAATGTGTGCCCCCACACTGGCACAAGGCTTTCCTCACCCTCCCCACGGAGGAGGCTCAGAGCTCCCCGGTGCATCACAGCTGAAATCTCCCAGCACAAAAGGAGACAGAGGTGGTACAATTAGTCTCTATTCTCTTCTCTGAATGCATCTGCCTTCTTCTGGGCCTCTCTGTCCTCTCTGATTCCTTGTCCCCCCAAGAAGTCAGTCCAGAGAGGAAGTTCCAGACTTGAGGACAGATTTTACAGCTGTGGAAAACTGGAAGAAGGAAGATTTAGGAAAGGGAATTTCTGAAAGCGGTGACCAAAGGGAGAATGGCCTTGTCTTAGAGCTGTCACATCTCTCTTCTTCCCCATGGAGGAATGCTTGCAATAATGTTAACATGAACAATTTTCATGCAAGGAGCAAGTTCATTGGAAGTAGCAGTTTGGGGCAATTTTTGACAATTTTGCCTGAAACGTGCAGTGTGCATGCAGAGAGCCACAGGCACATGTCTCTGCCGTTCCTGATTAAGAAATTCTGCTCCATTACTTCAGAATATTTTATCTGATTAGTATTTTGTAAGCACAGATTTTCATAGTTGTCAAAGCATTTGGGCTATTAATAATAAATAGATCTAAATAGAATCCTTTGACTTTCACGGCTGCATCTTTCCAGTGCACTTATGAAATAGGGAAATTTATTCCCTCTGTTATCCCTGTTTTCCCAGAGAGCTGTCCTGGGCTGTAGGAAGTTCCATCTTCCAGATTCCCAAGGTCAATCACAGGAGTCCCAGATTTAGGAACTGTCTGTTTCTTGTGCCACCCAATGCCGTGTTTGCTCCCTGCCAAACTACCCTGAATTTAGGTTTGTTGCCTTTCCTTCCTTTTTGTGGTCTGATCCTCTTTTCCCCCCTCCAGGAGCAGGCCATCGAGGTGCTGACACGCTCCAGCCTGGAAGTGGAGCTGGCTGCGAAGGAGCGCGAGATCGCCCAGCTGGTTGAAGATGTCCAGAGACTCCAGGGCAGCCTCACCAAGCTGAGGGAGAACTCCAGCAGCCAAATCTCCCAGCTGGAGCAGCAGCTGACAGCCAAGAACAGCACACTCAAAGTAAGGCTCAGTTGTGCCCAAAGGATGTCTCAGAGCTGGTGATATTGGGGTTTGCTGGTGTGAGTTTCATTGGCTTCTTCAGGGTGTGGCTGAATTCTGGTTTCTGCGGCATTCATGAATCACAGAATGATTTGAGTTAGAAGGGACCTTCAAACCCATCCCATTCCACCCCCCTGGATGTATTGTTTCCTAAGGGATCACATGTCTTTTAAATTCTCAATGGCCCAATCCTTACTGTTCTGAAATGTGTTTTTGCAGAACAAGGCTGCCTTTAGGATTACAATCACCACCAAACCCCAACATACATTGACCATGGATATGTAATGAAACAGTTGAACTGAAAAGGCACAGAAAATCCCTCTTAGATTTTCCAACTTTTAATTCCCATTCCATTTATACATCTTGAAGATTTGCAAGGAATTGGTTTATCTTTCAATTTCCCTGCTACCTCATCCAGTTGTCTCCACTGGAAATGGAAAGTGTATTACTTAGGAGACAGAAACAAGCAAAATCAGGACATGGAGAAGACTTTTAGCTTCAATAACCATTTAATTATTTTTTAACTGTGTATTTGCTGCACAATAATTCCCATTTATAATTAGCAGTCTGGCCCTATATCGTTTGCATAGGAGCAGTGCTGCACTAAAACCAGAAGGAACAGCTAAGAATTCTCTGAATGACCCTTTTACCTCTCTTTTGGGCAGTTTCACCCTCCCTGTGCTGAGCCCACACAGTTCTGATCTCTGAGTGAGCATGAGAAATGTTTCCTGACGTGGGGTATGAATCAGTTTCCTGTAACTCCCGTCTCCCTCATTGTTCCACCATCTATGAGCTCTGAAGTGTAAACAAGATAAATTTATCTATTCCATTAAAGACTTGGTAATTCTGCAGGTTTGATAGTCTGAGAGTTTTCTGAGAGCAGGAGGCTGATAGTTCCCACTCAGCTCTGACTGTGGCGTGGGCAGCTTTGCTCTATCAGAATGATTTAATGTTCAATTGAAACTCTTACAAATTGCTCTAATTCTGACATTTTTTAGCAGTTACTGGTTTTGCTGTGGTGGAGCATAATTCACATGGAGAGAGACCTGTTAGGAATGAAAGCTGAAGTGTTGCAGTCAGTGTTTTCTGCATGTTTGAAGCCAGCTTTGCAGAATTTTTATGAAAATTCAGTGGAGCAAAGGACACCTATTATGTAACTCCATTGACAGTATCAGTCTCTGCCCACCTGTCACCATTTGGGCACCACTTTTATTGAGGGAGAAAGGAGCTGCCCTGGTTTTGAGGGACACTTTCTGCTGGCTACACCCGTGCTCAGGGGATTTTTTTATTTTACTTTTTCATAAAGCCTGATAGAAAATATCTTGAGTCCTTGCACTTGACAGATTTTCTTGGAATAAAGCATGTTCCTGGTGAGGTCAGTATTAGTTTAGCCATTAACTTCAAAGGGAGTAGGATCACAGAAATGACAGAGCAAGTCTTTGATTTCCATTTCAGTAATCTCCTTCCATTTTCTCATAGCCTTGCCTGGCTAATGCTCTGCATTTAGCTTTCTGTTGATAGTGTCTGATGTAGTACCTCTATTGATAGTTTTAGTCATTTCAACCCTCTTTAACCTTATTTGTTGCAACTACAAAAGTATTTCCAAATACTTACTTTCACCCCGAAGTGCTGGGAAAGCCTGTGCCAGGCACACGTTGTACAAATCTCAGTGATGATGTGCTGATCTCCTGTTTGATTATGGAGGAATTGCCTCTGAAATAACAGAGATTTTAATGGTTGCCTCCACAAAAAACAACTCACAGTTTCACAAATTAAAGCAATGTTCTCAACCTGTATCTTGAGGGAATTGTTTAATACTCTGTGACTTAATGAAACAATACAGAAATACTTTCAAAATTATTGCTTCTTTATCTTCATCTGATCTAATAATCAAAACATGTCCTCTAGTAACAAGACTTTTCTCACTCTAATTGTATTAACCCTTTGTGGCTGGATGCTAGAACATCCCTGCTACCCAGTTAAATTCCAATAATGTGAGTTGATCACTCTAAACTGAACTACAGTGTTAATCTAATGGTTATTTAAATGTTTTAAGCCCCTCAATACAGCCCCTGCTATTTATCTATGCCACTTCAGTTAATAATACAATAGTGATTGTCTTTTCTAAGTAACATGAGGAGGGACCCAATCTCTGCATGCTCTAACATGGGTTCATTCACACCACAGATACAAGATGATTCTTTAACATGGGATATTTGCAAATTTAATGTGCAGAAAAGCCACCAGTCCATTCCTTCTGCCCCCTGGCTCCTGCATTTTTGTGTGTTGGAGGTCATTGGAATATATTTTGTCTGAATTAACCAGGTTGATATTTAGTGCAAGATATTAGTTCCTCCAGATTGTCTCACAGCTTGAACCTTTGTTATCCTGTGTTCTGTGCATTTTACAGGGTTCTTGGAGACAATTACCATACTAATACATTTTAAAACAGTCATTGACTGGGAAGATGCCAAGTGCCTAAATGTTCTGTTTCTACACAGGCACTGCATCCTCAGTTGTTAGTTTATATTGTTTACTAAAGTAGATGTTTAGGTGCAGATTTTCCATGGCAACAATCTCTATATTAGGTACTTGGGAATGATGGATGTGTGTGGTTTTTATACAATCCAAAGTAAAATATTGCTGGGTGTCATACTGCTGTACCAGCACACAAGTACCTGAGAGTCCAAAACAGCTGCATTTTGTCAATATATCTTTTTTTACTTTATTTTTCTACCTGTGTTTTGTGCCTAAATTTTCCAGAAGTACCCTACCAGGGTATAGCACTTCCCTGCACAGGATTATATTTAATACAGATTGAATTAAAATGGGAATCATTAGCTTTTCTGTGGTTTATATCTGTTTCTACAAAAGGCTGTTTTCTTAGCATACCCTTGCATAAGTTACATATTAATCCAGGGTATTATTTGTTTAAAATTTCTTCTGGTGCTTTTTATGCTGAGAACTGGTATAAATTGACAGTTATTCCTGCTCTAAAAGCTCCTCTGCTCCAGACCCAAAACGTTACAAGTCACAGAGTTATGGGAAGGGTGAATTGCAGTGGATTTGTAGAGCACCAAACAGAGACAGACAGACAAAGTGACAAAGACCAAGGAGAGCAGAAGGATATCCTGGGATTTGGCAGGTCCTCCCATTGCCTCTGACCACTTGGAAAATTCTCAGCTGTGATGCTGAATCTCCTCCCAGTACCAAGGGCTCTCTGGCTCACTGGTTTCATTTAAAGATCCTTCCCCAGCCTGACCTGATGCACTAAAAATTCCACCTGGATGCTTTGTTGGAGTCACTGTATTTTGTTCAGTGAAAAAAACTCTAAAACTTGCCCTGTATTTATTCCAGATGAAAAAAAAACCACTGTTGTAGCTAAAACAGACACTTTATTTTTCTTTTTAACACAACTGGAATGACTGCACGAGGCACTGATGACAAAAGACGCTGGGACACAGACCTTTTTAAGAGGCCACTCGTTTCATCAGTGCCCCAGAGAGTGCAAATTCCTCACTGAGCAGCAGTTCCTGTGATCCATTCAGAGCTGCTCGTTGAGCAGGGCCTGGCTGTTCCTGCCAGGAGATTCCTGTGGGCAGCGGTGGTGAGGATGCTGGGCTGTGGTGTCAGACAGCAGGAACAGGACCTGGAGAGGGCTGTGTGTTGAAAATGTGGGTGTCCACTTTGTCACTGCTCCTTAATATCCACGCTTAAAGGCAAGGCAGAAATGTCAGCAGTGTGAGAGCTGCAAAGGTCTGGGTAGGAAATCCTTTAAAAAATGGCAGAATAGCTGGAGGTCCCACAAAGCCCCACCATGCTGCTGTTGGCATCTGAAAAAGCCTCATTTAAATTACTGAGATGACTGAAACCATGGATTCACTGTCCTGTGGGTGTTTTGCTACATCATTTGGGTACTGCTCTGAGGTGAGTGACACCCACACGCTGACTTACTGGGGAAGACAGCACAGGGAACAGGTTCCCAATCCTGTTGTTGGCCTGCCCCAGCCCTGCCTCCATGCCCCCACAGCTGGGCTGCATTTTAAACAGCTTTGCTAAAATAATCCAAGTCCCCATCAGCCCTCCTGTGCCCTCCTCCTGCATCCAACAAGCAGCCCCAGAGTGGATGTAGGACCTTGAATTCCCTTCTCCCCTGAAGGCAGCCTCTCCTGGACATAAAGTCCTATTTTTCTTTCTCATGTCATATACTCCTTTCCTTTTCAAAGCAGATTCTCTGTCTTTGAGGTGATAAGTCCTTGCGTTATTTCTGTTTCCCATGACCTTTGGGATTCTGTGCCAATTCTAACACCAAGAATGAACTGAAGCAGAGCTAGCCTGAATTTATCCATGGAAGTTGCAAGCCAGTTAAGTTCTGTTCCTTGCTTAGATCAGGTGTGCCTGCACTAAGCAAAGAAATTATTGAGATGAATGTGGCTTCTGCAAGCAACGTAACGGCATCAATTATGTATCACTATGTTTTAGGCCTCCTGAAGCATTTACCCCGTAGTGATGAGCACTTTGTTGGGAGCTGGGTAAGGTCCAAGTGTGTGGCATTGCATTCTGGATTGTGGCAGCGGGTTTGGTTCAGCCTTTGGGGCATCCTCACACCCAGGAGAAGCCACTGAGGCCGCCCTGGGTGGGGCAGAGCAGAAGGAGCTGCTGGGGTGGCCTCAATTCTCCCTCTCTGGAGTGTAACCACAGCAGTTCCTGCAATCAGTAACACTTGTAAAACCTCCTGGTACAGCTGTTTTGTTTGGGCATGAGGTGCTGTAGGAGCCTTCCAAGCCTAAGGCATTCCAGTCAACAACAGCTTCTTCAGTCTGTTCTTTTTATCATGCAGATAAGGTTATCAAGAACTGTCCTATTAAGAATACAGTATGTGCCAAAGCATCCTGCTTGTTTACTCAATCTCCCTGAAAATTTCAGCTGCCCCATTTTTTTTAATACCTTCATGCCCGATCTCTTCCCTGAACACACGACAGTGACATTGCAAACAGCCAAATTGGGACCCACCGAATTCTGTCATGCTTGGCACTCTGTAAACAAAGGATGAGCGAGGTATAATTGTGTTTACGTTTAATTGGTTATAGTTTGTTTTCTAATATATGTAAATTAGGTATGAGTCATTAACCCTCACTTGTGCGCTGCTGTATATATGGAATAATTTGAAGATGATTTTCAAAGCCTGCAGAAAAAAAAAACAACAATGTAAATAATTAAATCCATGTTTTCTCTTTTAAAGCAACTGGAAGAAAAACTGAAAGGACAGGCTGATTATGAAGAGGTTAAGAAAGAATTAAAGTAAGTGTTAAATGCTTACATAATTTTTTTCACAAACTCTGGTTGAACAGTGCTTGTTAAATGAAGCCACAAATCTGTGTTCTTGGAACAATAAAGAATTCAGTCAAAACCACAAAGACAGGGAAATTGGGAATATTGGCAGGAATTGCATCCAGAACCAGTGGAGCTGCCATATCTGAGAGAGCTCCTCTTTGTTGCAGCAGGGGAACACAATAGCAACTAAAACACGTGTCCACGATGAAAAGCCACTGAAACTATTGTCCACAGAGGGGAAAAAAGTTACAAAATCTGTGGTGTTTTAGGTGGACCACTCTTTAAAAATCTCCAGCCAACAGCTGAGGGTAATGTGGACCAAAAATGTCATGCAGAGCCTTTGGCCATGGTACCTTTTCTCTGCTCCTGCCAGCCAGTGTTCAGCACTTACAGTTTAATGCTGGGCTTGTTTCACTGTATATTTTTGCTAATACATTGTGGTTTTAAACTAAAGCCACAAACAGCCTCTTCCTATTTCAAGGGATTTTCTTTAGAGACTTAAAGGAGCCTCATTTTAAACTATAACAAGATAAGCTGTCAGGTTCAGAAGAGAACTTTTCTGACTGGAAATATGTTTAGTGTCAAGGTTTAAATAACTGCAAGAAACTCCCATCTCTTCTTTCATCATTCTGGCATTTCTGTGTGTGTTTTAAAAAGGCTGAAATAACCCATTCCCTGGTTTAATGAGGTATTTCAGATGAGGCTGGTAGTCATGTGCTTTTGTTTACACGTCCCTGGAGAATATGGAAAGCAGATTTGGATTTGCAAGCCCCACAACTGCCCAGCCCCTGGTGCTGATTTATTCAAGCCATGCTGGCTGAGGTTCTGGTTCACCACCATCTGCAGCACACCCTGATGTAGGGGTATAATTTTCATTTAAATTAAATGAATTGACCATTTCTTTGGTCATTTTACCTGATTATTACCTGGGCTCAAAATAGCATCATCATTTAGTGATTAGGGGTAAATACACCCATGTCCTCTCCTGAGTTAAGGGAACAGCTTCAGGTTTTAGCCAGTTTATGTCCTCATATGCAAAGCAGTGAATGGGAATAAGGCCACAACCTTCCAGCTTCTTACATTAGATATTAAATGTAAATGTGCTGAAACAACAAATGAGTTTTGAATCCTACCTGGTTTAATGCAAAGGTTTAATACAACAGGACCAGGGCTTTAAAGCCAGACTTAAGGTGCCAAAAACCCAATATACTCATTCAATATACTCATTTAAGCTTACTTTGCATTTGTACTTTAAATGCAAACCCTGTATTTCTGGTGATAATATCAATATTTTAAATTCTATTTTTTTTTACAACACTGGCTTACATAAGGACAGGGATGGAAAGGCAGATGAGAGGAGCTGTGACACAGGAGGCTTCTTACAGTGCTTCTGCTCAGGATGAGCCTGCAGTGAAATAAATGGGAGACTCTCCTGGAAGTGGCCCTGGTTGGGTGCCAGTAAATTAACCCTGTTTTCCCATCTGTTCCAGCTTTTATATCCCTAATTTGTGGATTGATAGCTGGCTTGTAAGGACCCCTAGGGTCCATCATCATCCTGTGGGATGGTCTGAGGGTTGAGACTCTCCAAGAGAGCACTGAGGATGTTTGCAGTGCTGCATCTCCCAAGCAGCTGCATCACACCATTCCCATGCTCCACCTAATCCAAAAGGTGTGCTGAAGGCTAAATGTGCATCCCTTGGCAGTGACAGTCTGATCTGAAGGGAGACTTGCTGTAAATGAGACTGGGAGCGGTCTGTTGCTGTAAATCTGGAGCCCTCACACCGAGTCCTGCTGCACCTGCCTGAAACACTGACAGAAATGAACTGCTCATAACATTTGCACCAAGAGAAAAGAGATTTTGTCAGTAAGGCGGGAAGAGGATGAATTTTTTAGGTGTTTTGGCACTGATGTATTTTCCTTAATCCTTCCTGGGATGTTAGAGGCATTCTAGGCTGAGGGGTCTCAGTATCAGCCAACTTCTGACTCTGGAGGAACTTAGGTGGGCCCATGTCAAGATCTGGCATAGGAGGTTTCTTCACTTTCTGCCCTGGCTTTTGTGCCCAATGCTTTTTAAACCTATTTTTGAGATCTAAGGGCTCTGTGTGTGCTTTCAGCTCCCTCTCGAGTAGCACGACAGCGCTGACCCTGCTGCCTTTGCAGTCGGGATCAGACAAACAGAAAGTCGAGCTGTCCCAATCCACACTTTGCTTTACAGTCAGATCTTTCAAGTCTCCTTAGATGTGCAGATTCAAGTCACAAGATCATTCCTTTAAAAAGCAGGTAACTGATCTTGAGCCATAGATTGAGTCAAGATCTCATGGGCAAAGATATTCCTGGAATCCAAAGAAGAAACATTGTGCTTCCTCATATTCCTGAGGAGAATGTGTCTTTTGTGACACATTTGGAGAGTCATTTTTGACATGTTTAACTTTTACATTCTTTTAAAAATGAACCTGCTGGAGTGAATATTCCTCTCAGGGCAATTAGAGGTGCCATCAGCTTGATTTTTAGTATATTTTGTGTTTCGACTGTATAGGAAATTACCTGTGAAATTGTCAGAAAGTTAATTCAGTTAGCAAAGAATCCCCTTCAGGTAGGCAGAGGTCAGTAGGTTTCCAGCCAAGGTTTGAATACACATTGCCTGCACCAATCTTGCTGGAAACACAGCTGCTGCAAGGCTCAGGATCCTTCCTGAGGGTCCCAACTGGCAGCAGTTTCTCAGAACTAAAATGCATCAGCCTGTGCAAGGAGAGGGATGACAGGATCAGGGCTTTAGAGGGAGATTTTTGGTGTGGAGAACCAAATACAACCATGAACAGGTTTATGCTTCCAACCATTGTCATCCTGGTTCTGGGAGCAGCACAGTGTGGTCAGGGCAGCACTCACATCTGCTCCTTTTGGGAGAGAGCAGCTTTTTCTGGTTTAGCCTCATCCAGGAGGAAGGAAGGTGTTTGGAATGCTGCTGGATTGCTCCACATGGCAAACCCACGTGTGGTAAGTGAAGGTCACCACTGGTCTGAACTGAAATGGGGTTTCCCATGGGACGTTTGCCACATGATAATTTGCTGTTCAAACTGGGTTTGAAATTCAGATGAGTCTCCTCATTTGGGCATGGTGAGGATGTGCATTAGGCCTGGCTGTCCCTGCAGAGACCATTCCCTTCAGAATTCATGGAAACTGCAACTTGCCAGTGGCTGGGGTTTTCCCTGGATGAGTCTCTGTGCATTTATGTCCCCCAGCACCTCGGAGTCCTGCGATGCAGAGCTGGTCTCCAAAGGGGTGACCCTAGAAACACTGGCTTTCGGGGATGTGCCCCCTGAGACACACTCCTTGATGTCAGGGTGATGTCAGGGTCTCTGAGAACTCAGGCCATTAGTCCACATGCTCTGCCCTTGACTGGCACGAGTGCTCTGATGGCACAAGAGTTGGTTCTGCACGTGGCAGAGCTGTTGTGCCCATTTAAAGTCTTCACAACATCACTTTATATGCTGTTTGTGGAGTGATGGCTCTACCCTACAGCCAGGCAAGAGATGACACTGAGTGGTGCCATGTAATGAAAGTGACTGCCAGAAATTTGTGGTGTCATTAATTACTGTATTTTAGGGATGCCTGTCAGAATTAACCGTGTGTGCAATGAGTATGCACAGATGCAAGATACATGAGGACACTTTCTCAGAATGACTTTTTTCCCCTTGAGTTCTCTATAACTTTGAGTAATCTAGAATGGCCCAGAGACCTGATTTCCAGAGTGTCACTTAATGCACATCTAGCTCTGGATTAATCCAGGGCCAGGTTCAGGCACTTAATGGATGCCTGGCTAACTCCTCACGGCATCCAGAACCAGTTCCTGTGTCTCAATACTGGACTTTGCCTTTTTTTTCTCTCAGTTTCCACCTTTCATGGAATCACTGAATGTTTTGGGCTGGAAGGGACCTTAAACTCATCCAGTCCCACCCCCTGCCAGGGACAGGGACACATTCACTATCCCAGGTTACTCCAAGCTCCATCCAGCCTAGCCTTGGACACTTCCAGGGATCCAGAGGCAATTCCAAGAACCTTTAATACATGATCCATAGCTTTTAATACAGTTTAATACATGATTAAACAGATTGTTCCCGCTCTCAGAGTTCCTGGTGCTCTATACATGACAAATGCTGTATAAACACCATCTATATGTGTTTATGTGTTTTTCTTCACCAAATGAATGTCGTCTTTGTACAGTAAGAAGCTGAAATCATTTATTGCTACAGTCTGAGGAAGTTCATGTCCTGCCTGCAGCAGACTGATTTAAAAAAAATTATCCAACAAAGCACAGTAATAAGTCTGGATTCCTGTAAGATTCTGGTTTGTCAGACAGCTCTAACTGAAAGCCTCTGAAGGGAGACGTCCTCTGACCACTCACTATTTGTATAAAATACTGACAATGAGACTATCAGATTCTTCTTCTAATGTACTTATAAATATTTGGATCTTTCATATTTCTTGAGAAATATTGGGCCATTTTGTCTTCCCTTTGCCATAGAACGAGGGGGTTATTAAAATGAAAAACTGCTTTTTAGCCTGTAGTGCCTTGGTTGGGAAGATTATTTGTGCATATTTTCCTTGCTGGTGAGCTGGTGTATATTCTATAAAGTGCTGTACTGTGGTGGTGATTCCTATTTTGTTGCTTTGCTACAACTTCATCATTCCCTTCCAGCTTCACAGATAAATTTATATTGTTTCTGACAGCTTAAAATGTTATATCCTTATTAACCTTTAAATTTACGCTTTAAACTGGCCTGGTGGGATTGCATATGGAATGATTTAGATGATGCTCGAGAAAATTTTCTTATCCAATAACTGGTTTGAGGAGTTATTCTGTATTCATTAGGAGATTGTGTTACTGCGAGGAAAGTTGTCATCACTTGTGGTGGTGCTGGAGAACAGGACATGATAACGTTAATGCTCATTAGTGGAGTTGTTATGAAAAGGAGAAATAGAAAATAATTTATTTTTTCTGCCTTCCACAGTATATTGAAATCCATGGAGTTTGCACCATCTGAAAGCTCTGGTGCGCAGGTACTGAATTTATTTTTGTTTTCTTACTTATTCAGCGGCTCAGTTGATTAACAAACTTGCAATTCCTTAGTGTTGACATCAACATTTTCCTGTTGATGTTGAGGCTTCTGGGTCCATCCTTGATTTTCTTGATGTTTTCTTATGTAAAAAGCTGAACTGGACTTTTTTTTTTTTTTTTTTTGCCTGTTAATTTAATTTAAGTGATCAAGGACAAAGCGATGTTTCAGCTGTGCTGGAGTGGATAAACCAGAATGTTGTGAAGTTGAGTCATTTAAAGATACTGGAGTTGGTGTACAGGCAGCACACTGTGCAAGGACTTCAGCATTTTAAAGTATTTGTTAGCCTTGAAATTTTTTTTTCACAAAAGAAAACAAACCTTGGAGTACTGAGAAGGCTCTGCTGTTCCAGCAAATTAATCTTAATTCAGTTTAAAGGTTATGAATTAAATTCCTGTTTCTGAAGTCTGAACTGAATATCGATATCCTGGGATTAATTTTCAATGGGTTTTTTAATGATCAAGGGTTAGATATTTAGGGGAGAGTAAATAGCAGGTTACTCTGACTGATGTTATTTTGAACAAATTGTGTCTGCTGAAGCACAGCATGTCAAGAAAATGCTTAGCTTGGGTCAGTTGACCTAGAAGGAATAATATAATCTTAACTCCTGTTTTAATCAGATTAAAAGAAGTCCACAGCTTTTAAACTGAAAGCGTGCCAGGACCATTTAAAAATAAGTAGGATTAAGAAAACATTCCGTTACACATCTCAAAATAATACTTGAATTGATGAGTGATTTAGAATGAAAATCAAAGAGTGAATCTCCTCCATGGCTCCCACCAGAGCCCAGAGTGATTCCTGCTCATCTGTGCCCAGCGAATTCCCTCGCTGCCTTCAGAGACCAGTCAAGCACTTGGGGTTTTTTTAAATTGTCTCCCTCTGAAATCCTTGTTAGTGCCTGAGTGAGATTCTCAATCCTTTGAGAAACAAACCTCCCCCGTTTGGTTTCCTTTAGGATGCATCCAAGCCGCTGGAGGTGCTGCTGCTGGAGAAGAACCGCTCGCTGCAGTCGGAGAACGCCACGCTGCGCATCACCAACAGCGACCTGAGCGGTAGGTCCACCCAAATTTTGGCTCTTCTGGTGCCTCTGCTGTCCTGTGACGGGAGGGAGGGCTGAGTGAGAGCTGAGTGTCTGAGCTAATGCATGGCAGGAGGATTAAGAAGCAACAGGAGCACTGAGTAATGTTGGATTTCTGTAGTTTTATAGACTGGATAATGAAGTAAAAGTTAGAGAGTCTGTAAAGGTTAAGGAAGAGGCATTACAGGCTGTACCAGTGTTGGAGGATGTCTTCTGTTTTGGGAACAAATCCATCTCTCCCCCACACACAGTGTTATGCAAAATGTTTGCATGTAGAGCACAGTCTTCCTGTCTGATACATTTGGATATACCACCAGCAGGTCAGCTTGGGAAAGCAAAATCCTTTCTTTCCAGCGAAATGTGTTTGCTGTTTGGCTTTCCTAATGTGGGCTTTTACATCTTGTGTGCACATTTTTTAAATGGCAAGTAGTGAAATTTCCAGATTCTGGAATGATTGTTTTTGCAGCTGGAAGAAAGTTAAAAGTTGCCACTGGCCCTGGGATTACTGAATTCTGAAGTGTTTTATGACTTTTAACTGAGCGATCTTGGTGCATCCACCTAATGGTTATTCCTTTATTCAAATTGGTTTGTTCCAAAATGTAAATGTTTGCTGCATTTGGGTTCAGTCAGGTCCAATGAGTCATATCTTGAATGAGAGACAACAGAGAGACTTGCTGTCTGTAACTGCATTTATTTAACTGTATCACTGCACTTCATGTAACTGTTCTAGTGTTAATGTCTGTAAGGGGGATTCTCCAGGCTGCAACATACAAGAAAGGTGCAAACATGAAATGCATGTTGTTTGTTTTGGGGGCCTTGTTTGGCTTAAAAATTTTCAATCATGGAAAAAAAAAAATAAAATTAAAAATAAAAATTAAAAAAAAAAATAACCCAACAAATGAAAACAAACCAAAACCAAACAAAACCAAAACTCCCACCGCCACTCCATTGGCCCATGTCAATCTGCACTTTTTCCCTTTGCGGGGCAAACTTTGCATTTTTTTATCTTGGTTTTTCCCTCTTTGACCCCCCATAATGCATTATGTTTGACCTTCCTTGTAGGGTCAGCCAGGAGAAAAGGGAAAGACCAGCCTGAGAGTCAGCGTCCTGCAACCTTGCCGGCCTCCCCTCCTTCCCAGTTGCTCCGCAACGCGGGGGAGCAGGCTTCCAATACTAATGGTACACACCAGTTCTCACCAACGGGTTTAAGTCAAGACTTTTTCAGCTCATCCCTGGCGAGCCCCAGCTTACCCCTGGCCTCCACAGGAAAATTTGCACTAAACTCTCTCCTCCAGCGACAGCTAATGCAGTCCTTCTACTCCAAGGCAATGCAGGAAGCAGGAAGCACAAGCATGATTTTTCCAACAGGTCCATACAGCACAAACTCCATATCTTCCCAAAGTCCATTACAACAAAGCCCGGATGTAAATGGCATGGCCCCATCTCCCAGCCAGTCAGAAAGTGCTGGGAGCATCTCTGAAGGAGAGGAGATAGACACGGCCGAAATTGCACGTCAGGTGAAAGAGCAGTTGATCAAGCACAATATTGGACAGCGGATATTTGGACATTATGTGTTGGGACTGTCGCAAGGGTCTGTGAGTGAGATCCTGGCCCGGCCAAAGCCATGGAATAAACTGACTGTGAGAGGCAAGGAGCCATTTCATAAGATGAAGCAGTTCCTGTCGGACGAGCAGAACATCCTGGCTCTTCGCAGCATCCAGGGCAGACAAAGAGGTAAGAGCTCCCCAGCCCCCTGCTCCTCTTAGCTCCAACCATTCCAAACCAGGAGCTTCTCCATCCGGGGTCGTTTGTGCGCTGCTGCTGCTGCTGCTGCTGCTGCTGCTGCTGCTGCTGCTCTCACCCAGGTCAGGTGCCAGGTGCAGCAAGTTCAGCTCTCCAGCCCTGCTTTGCAGCACTCAGGCAGGTTCGTATCTCTGCTTATGCTTTTTTTAGCCACTGGCTGGTGCCTGTCAGCAGGAGCAGCAGGGACACTCCCAGCCCTCACTTCCCAACCCCTCCGTGCCACAGCTAAACACGGAGCAAAAAGGGTCAGCAGCTACTCGGGGTATCAGCCCTCAGAAATACTTGGGAAATTTTATTTGAGGTTGTTTACTGAGACCAGGCTTTTGTTGTGTCTTGTGTGATTATGTTTTTACCCCAAAGTGTTCTGACAAAATAGGGTAGGTGATGCATGAGATGAGTAATTAAAACACAATCCCAGTTTAAAGCAGCTTTGCATATTTAAGGCAGCGATTTTACAAAGTAACATGCATTTCATTGTGATTCATCTTAAGGCTGAGATTTACATTTAGAGAAACTGAAAAGTGAGTTGTTTACAGTCAAGAAATATTGGAAAGGACAGGCAGGGTTTTCCTAGATTTTGTTTAATTGGAAGCACACACAGTTAGATTTATAATCTGTTCTTCCTTTTGATGATTGTACTTGAGGGGATTATCTGCCCATCTTTAACCTCTTCATTTTTGGTATCTCTAGACATTTATTTATATCTGTCTAATCTCCTTTCCGAACATAGCTGTAATCTTTATTAACAAATCAGCCAGCCTTGCTTCTTCCCAAGTAGCCAGTTCCTCCTGCTCAGGGGCCCGAGGGGCCAGGAGAGCTCAGGGCCAGGCTGCCAGCTCCTCATGTCACACAGCCCGTGATGTCAGAGCAACCATCCCCTGATTGTTTTGTTCTTACCAAACTTGTTTTTCAACAGAGAATCCAGGCCAGAACCTGAACAGACTATTTCAGGAAGTACCGAAACGAAGAAATGGGTCTGAAGGTACGTCACAGGCAGGTGTTTTTCTTTGCAGTCAATCCCTAGGAAGTGGAGTGTGCTTTAGCTGTGTGTTTCCTTAAAACTGTGCAGTTTGATTCTGGCCTGGAATCTGATAGAAAAACAGACAGTAAGTATAAAACAAACCATGGGTTAGATGAACACTTGGCTTTTTCTAATTCTGCTGCTGCTGTACTAACATAACCCTGTTTGGATAGTTCTTCCACTCCCATCCTCCCTGCGTATGCAGATAAAGACAGAGAAGTGATAGAAGTGGCTTTATAAAGTCATCAGATCTATTGAAATGCTCTCTTTGCTATTTTTATGGTTTTGGAGGGAGAAAGTTGCGCAGTTATAACATCAATTGCATACTGCTTCTGCTCTAGATTTACTTCTTTCTTCTCATGGGGCTTATGCTGACAGATTCCACTTTAAAACAATGCTAAATTAGTGTGATGCTTAGTTCAGTATTACATATGAAAAAAACAACAAGATAAGTGAACATCAGATCCATAAATTATCACTGAATAGGAAGTCTGCACATTTTTGTAATAGATTAGTTGTAGAATTTTTCTTTTAGTAAGACCAGAAAGAAGGAAAATCAAAAGCAGGTACACCAAAAGTCTGTAGTTATTTTGACTCCAGTCACAAATTACCTTGCTTGCTTACAAACATTAATCTCATAATGGAAAATGCAGTTAAGTGCAGTAGCAGTCACAGTTTTCTCTCCTTTTCTTCCCCTTAGAGGTTAAAAAACAGAACAAAACAAAAAAAAATAACAAAGCAAAACCAAACAACCAAGTAATAGCTCTTAGGTGGAGAGTACTTCAAATGGTATCTGCGTTTAAATGACTCTTTCTCTTAAAAATGTCACCTCTAGAAATTTAAAAATTGTTTTTATCTAGTTACTGTTTAATTCTGTTTTGGGCTGAATGTATACTCATCCTGATTTGCCTAGCAGCTGATGCCATTTTGAAGTTGATTCCTAGACTTACGTTTTTAGCTTTCTTCCTTTCCCCTCTGATTCTTTTCCCTTCTGTTTCCTCTCCCCCTCCAAAAAAAAAAAACCAAAAAGAAAAGAAAAAAGAATAGATCTGTATATATTACCATAGAAAAGGAATATATGACCACCTAGTTCTTCCTCTGATGTTCTCACCATTCCAGGGCAGCTAGAGACAGGCACAACGAGGATATTTTGCTTTTTATTATTATTTTAATTTTTTTGAGTGTTCATGTTGGTAAAGGTCCTGTGCAAGTTGTCCTCAGGTTGTGTTGGCCATGTATCATATACAGTGTGTCTTTGTGTTATAAAAACAGCCAAATGAGAGTTTTCCTGGTGTCATTAGTTGTGTTTTCCTCCCCAGGTAACATAACCACACGAATCCGAACCACAGAGTCTGGCTCTGATGAAGCCATCAAATCCATTCTCGAACAAGCCAAAAGGGAGCTGCAAGTACAGAAAACAGGTACGGGCTCATTTTGTCTCTGCCTGCTTTTACTGCAGAACTTAATTAAAACAATTGCCATGAGCTTTCTGGTCAGTTAATTATATTCTTAAAATATTCAGTGTAGGTTTGAAGAGTTTTTTGGAGATTTTTATCGTTATTTAGTGGGGTTGTTTCTGTCTCTGAGACATCCCAAGTTAAGGTGGCACGTGTGGGGTCTCTGCTCTGCCCCTCTCCCTGTGGGATTTCTGAGCACCTTTATCCCTGTGCAGAGCTCTGAGCTCCTGGCTGCCCTCCAGACCTGCAGCAGTCACTGAGGGGAACCTACAGAATCCTTTCTTCTCCCAGGTTGCTCCTTGGAAAGGGAGCAGCTCCTGCTTTCTCTCCTCTTCTGTCTCACTCAGGCCCCAGGGACACAACTGCATGGGAGAGGGGCTGGATGGGTTTGTTGGGATGAAGGTCACACTCCAGGCAGCAATTACCAGTCCCAGCACCATGCTACATCCTGTACTCACATAGGCACACTCAGTCCTGACTCTTAGATGACTTTATTTTTGGTTACAGAATATATTCAGTGAATGAACTAGCAAATCCAAAGCACATTCTCTTTCCCAAAAAATCCCTCTTAGCCTGAGCTAAGTCTAATTTCTCATTTTATGCTGTCATGTAATTCACATTTCTGTCTCGTCCATAGCCCTTTCAGCTTTAAGAGTTCCCAGTACTGCTATTGGGCTGAAGTAGAAATTACTGTGCAATACTTCGGTTTCATTTTTTTAAAGTAAATACTGATTTACAGTTTTGGATAGTTGTCTTTCAAATGATAACTAAGTTAATCTCATGGCAGAGTATAAAACACTAGTTAATATATGATCTAAATAATATGACTTTATACAGGAAATTATTACATAGAGAAAAATACGGGCTTTGTGCAGGAAACTGCAAGAATGTTATTCAGTAGCATGTTTCATCTGAGAGTCTCAGACTTCCTTTCAAATATTAATTTGGCCCTCAAAACTCCCTGTGAAACCAGCAGATAAAACCACAGAGAGAGTCTCACTGTCTTTTTTTCCTATTTCTTAGCTTTTCATCTGTTTTACAGCATTTGACAGGAAGGAATGTAGTAAGGCAAATTCAGAAATGCATTCAGATGAGCCTTAGTATTACTGGAGAGATAGACAGCATGCTGCAAATCTTATTTCACTTTGAGGCCACTCCTTGCAGTTTGGGGTTCCCTGCTCCCACCTGGTGCTTCAACTTTCCCTGTTCTCTGCAGAGCAGCTTTCAGAGGACCTGGTTTCCAAGCACTGGGGACCTCAGTGGAGACTGAAATAGAAGTAGATGCCATTGCAAAACCTCCTGGCTCTGCAGAGATAATTCCCCACCCACGTTCCAGTCTCTGCTCATCATCTCCAGTCATCTGCTGCAGCACAGCCACCCAAATCCTGGCTCCCCACTGGAATGCTGCATTTGGGGGTTATCTCTGCTGAAAGCACCCATGACTCCACCCTAGAGCTTGGGATAAGGGAGAGGGTGATGGCCAGGTGTCAGCCTGGCTCTGGTAGAGCTGTTTATTTCAGTGGTTGGGACCATGGAACAAGCAAACAGGAAGCAGGAGCATATTTAGTTTGTCAAGTGAAATAATGATGATGATGATCTCTTCCTAAAGTTCTGCCTTTGTTGTAATTTGTGTGTTGTGTTTTTGAAGTTAAAAGGTCTCACCTTATTTATACTGTAATAGTCTGTCCAGGTGAATGCAGCTGTGTTCAGTTCTGAGTGCGTGTTAAATTCATTTGTGGAGAAAAGAGTGAAGTGAAAGGTTAAATAACTTTGTAAATGCAGCTATAAAATGTTATTGACCACGTGGGGGTGGGGGAGGAAGAGGTGAAGGCTTGATTTTCAAAGGCATTTCTTTGAAAATTTTTACAGTGGAAGGGCAAGTGATCCCAGACTTGTGCAGCTGAGTCTGTGCGTGCAAACATCCAGCACTTTGGCAACTCTGAAAATTTTCCAGTAAAGAACTTTGGAAATCTTACCTTATTTTGAAAAGTGCAAATCTTTGCTTAACAAAAACTCCTCCCTCCCATCCAGAAATGTATTTCAGCCCCCCCCTTTTTTTTTTCTTTTTTTCCTGTCAGGGAAATGTTTACAGTAGCACGTGTTGAATATAAAGCATTTTCCTCTGTTGCATTTAGTCTTTTGGTTGTTTTTCATAGCTGAGCCGGCTCAGCCGCCTTCTGCCTCTAGCAGTGGCAATTCTGATGATGCAATTCGATCCATTCTGCAACAAGCCCGACGGGAAATGGAGGCACAGCAGGCTGCCCTTGAACCTGCCTTAAAAACACCACCTCTATCTCAAGCTGACATTTCTATCCTGTCCCCCAAACTAGTGTCTACACCTGCAATGTCTTCGGTTTCCAGCTATTCTCCTTTGGCCATATCCCTGAAGAAACATTCATCTGTCACTGATTCCAGTATCTCTGCATTGCAGAACCTCTCTGGGCTCAAAAAGGAGCCTCAGGAGGCACCTGTTTTAGAGCTTCATGGAATAAGTGATTCTGCCCAGGGTATGTTGAGGCATGTTAAAAATGAGTTGGGACGTGGTGGTGTTTGGAAGGACCATTGGTGGAATACTGTGCAGCATGAGAGAAGAAATGCAGCTCTTCCCGAAGATATAAAAGTTGAGGAAGCCAGTGGTGGAAAAGAAAAGGTCAGCAATCAGACTAGGCCAGATCGTAGCCAGCTCCAAGGACCGTCTTCTTCCGAGTATTGGAAAGAGTGGCCAAACGCGGAATCTCCGTACTCGCAGAGTTCTGAATTGAGCATGACTGGGGCGAGTCGCAGTGAGACACCACAAAATAGCCCCCTCCCTTCATCCCCTATCGTGTCCTTGTCCAAGCCATCCAAACCTTCGGTTCCTCCACTGACACCCGAGCAGTATGAGATTTATATGTACCAGGAGGTGGATACGATAGAGCTAACGCGGCAGGTCAAGGAAAAGCTAGCAAAGAATGGCATCTGCCAAAGGATCTTTGGGGAAAAGGTAAAGAAGTGGTTCTCTCTTGTTTCACCAGTGTTGTGATTGTGCCCTCTGCTCCTTACACGGGTGCAGAGCCACAGGGGGATGTGCCAAGGGTGTCCTATGGAAAAATGGTTTTGCTCCGTGTGTGAAGCGTTTCCAAACGAAGCTCACGAAGTATTAGTTTCCCTGTGTGGTAGGAATTGCAAGGGTTTTTATACAGGGATTGGCTTCAGCCACTTGGAATTAGGAATGGGGCCCCGAGTTTAGAAAACTTGAAAGCTGAAGCAAACGTTGCTGAGACTCAATATTTCATGCTTAATGTAATGAATTCGTGGAATATTTGAGTAATACCACTGTCACGACTGGAGAGTCTTAACTTTGTTATAAGTGAAGATTGTGGACACAAGAACATTTTTCCTTTTTCGTTATTATTTGGAAATGTGCGTAAGGGCATTAAAACAAACACATGGAAAATCCCTTACTCTCCTTAGTCTGAAGTCAAGAATTCCAAGTCATTTCTAATACCTGGTGCTCAGTTCCTCAGTGTGCTCTGAGATGTTTTAGAGCAATGTTTGATTACAGATAAGGCTCCCTGAAGTTCTCACGTTGTAAGCCCTAAGCACTGAGCACGTGGGATTTTGAGGGTCCCTAACCACCAGAAATCCCCTCCCAGGCTGTAAAAAGTGTTGGACATTTTTTGTTTCTTCTTCCTATAAAGAATTGAATCAATGTAAAAGTGTAATAGGAGCTGGCATCGCACTATTACCTTCTCACTAAGATGTAAAATGAAAAGTCTGACCTCTCAGGGTCATTAAAGATCCCATGGCAGCTTTCATTAAGTATGATTTTTAACTCTTGTACCTGTGCTGAATTCCAGTCAAGTAAATGTGTTTTGCCTGTCTGAAATTCTCCCCCCCACTGCAGTCGGCTGTATTCTTAAATATTTACTTACGTGGAGCAGCCGCTGCTACAGGTGAAAACACACATTGTTATAATTCATCCCCCAAAAATCAACAAAATATAGGCCTAGTCTCAAAAGTCCCAATTATTTTTGTTTGAGAACAAAATACATGCCAGTCATTGCCTGTTTCATCTGCCTGTGTGTGCCTGGACTCGGTGTTTTTCCTGTTAAAACTGATGAAACTGTTTGACACAAAATATGAAAAGCATGCAAATCCCTCACCAGACTGCTGCCACCCAGATCCTGCAGGAAAAACCCACCTTCCTTCAGAAGGCAACGTGGCAGGAAGAAAAGCATTTCCATCTGAGTACCCACAAAAAACAGTTCTTATAATCGTCCAATTTTTACCGTTCTTACAATTGTCCATATACAAACAATTTGAGCAATACAGTAAAGGAAACCAAAGTGAATTAAATTCCCCCCGTTTCCACTGCCAGTGTGTTAACGTGCCATTCTTGGTTGCTTCACTTCAGGTATTGGGGCTGTCCCAAGGAAGTGTCAGTGACATGCTCTCCAGGCCAAAGCCATGGAGCAAATTGACCCAAAAAGGCCGAGAACCATTTATTCGTATGCAGCTCTGGTTGAATGGTGAGCTGGGACAGTGTGTCCTGCCCGCACAAGGGCAGCAACAAGGACAAGGTAATTAAAATTCCACTATGTTGTTTGAGTTGAGGAGGAGGAGGAGATTTTTTTTTTTTCCATTTTTTTTTTCCTATTTTCTGTATTTTTTTATTTTTTTTTTTAAATTTGCAGTAAGCCAGCCTTGCACCATTGCTGGTCCAGGCGTTATGGAAGTGGCACCATCCACCCTGGCAGCCCAGCCAGTCCCTAAGGGGACGTGCTGGGGATGTTTACAAACGTTTATGTGTAATTGATAAGCAGCAGTTATCAAGTTCCTCATTAGGGTGATATTATCTAGGCATGAATATGACACGCAATCCCAAAAATTTTGGCCAAAGAGCTGGAAAATGTTGCGCGCTGTTTCCTAGGGTTGCACAGGGGATTTGGATTGTTCCAGGGAGAATATCGATTGCTGTCTCAGGAGGTGAGCAGGAAAACTAAGCTTTATAGGGGGAATGCTGGGTTGCAATGACACTTTTATTGTGGCTGTCTCTTCCCCTAACACCTATTGACACAGAAAAGCCAGGCTGGAGCCTGGCCTGGGCCGTACCTTTCTGTGCCATGAGTTAACTGAGCAGCGAACCCTTGCCGAGATCAGCACTTTGCTATTTGTTGAGCCTGCTTACTGTTTAGTTTGTGGTTTGGCATCTCCTTTTATTGTTCCCTGATTTTCCTCTCCTCTCTTATCTAGTCCTTCACTCTGTGACATCATTACAGGATTCCCTACAGCAGGGATGTGCAAGCTCAGGTAATCAGCTGGTTTCAATGATTTGCTCTGAAATAATTCTCTGTGCTTTTGTTGCGTTTGCTTTGATGCTGAGAGGTTTCTCACGTTTTGTTGTATCATACAGGAGTCCCTTCAGTTTTTTTTTTTATTAATGCAGTTAATTCCTCCTTCTCTCCTTGTTGCTATGGCAGATGTAGGGAGCACACATATTTAGCTGCATATATTAGGTAGAGAGACTCTGTCTGATCTTAGAGATCATTGGCTCTGTAAGGGTTTGGTTTTTTTTTTGCCATAGTTCAGCTTATCAATGTGACATGTGACAATGGCTGTAAAACAAGCCCTTGGTTTGTAATGTGATCCACATACTCCAGCTGCCTCACTCGCTGGCAGGTTTTTTTCCATTCTCCTTTGCACAAAATCTGCTTTGTTAATTCGAAGGTGGGGAACAGACCACATTATGTCTTTTTCAAGCTTCATTAAATATTCCCAGCTGATTTTTTTTTCTCCTTTCCATTTGCAAAAACAAAATAAAAAATAAAAAAGCAGATGCAGCAAAGCTGAGTGTCAGAGAAATGAGTGGCTGAAGGCTTTAGAGATGGTCACAGGATAGGAGGGAGGCTGGGACAGGAGAGAACAGCTGTGTTCCTGCTGTTAGATACCAAACTCTACCCACACAGCCTCTTACCAATGAAATGCTTCACTGACGTAAAACACTCCACAAAAATACCCATGCCCTGCTCTGTGCTTACAGCCAGTGCCCTGTGTTGGAGAATTGCTGCATTTCAGGGCACAGACAGGGATGAGTTGTGTTCTTCTTCCACCTTTCTGCTATTCTGAAATGCTCCTTTCTCTCTGCAGCTCGCTGGCTTTACACTAAATATCCCAACCAAAGTGGTTTTTTTCTCTCTACTGGGGAAACTATTTTGCATTCTGAAAGATTTTACTAGAAGAAAATTCATTATGATATTCAGTCCACGTTTTTCTTAAGGAGAACAGTTGAAAATAAATACATAAAAGCAAAAAAAAAAAAAATTGTCCCCAGCAAAAACAAGCCATGAAAACAAAACCAAAATGGGAGAAAATTATTTGCAATCATAGGGCTATTGTTACTTATAGCCAAGCATTTAGGGAACATGGAAATTTCCTGTGATGGTTCATTAAAAACATGCCATTGAGTACTTTTTTTGTGGCATCAATGCTGTGCAAGAGTGTCACAGTCACAAACGCCTGAGACAGCGTGGAAAACATGAGTAATTAATTGTAGCCATTTTAGGGGGAATTCGAAATCAGAGGAGCTGGGAAATGCTGCATTGTTATTGCTAATCTTCATATTTATGACTAACTGTAATTATAAAAGATGGAAAGACAAGCCCATAGTATTAAAATCCGACCACCTCCTGGATTCCCGTGGGATCACTGGGAGCTGAAAGTGATTTCCTTCAGGAAGTTCAGTTTTGCTGCCGGGATATTTTGTTCCCTCCCACACTCCCAGTGTCGTTTGTCAGTTCCTGCCCTTGAGCTAATATTTTGTGAGGTGACACGTTCCTATCAGCTAATAAAATCATGTTATTGATGACTGTCCTCCTTCATTCCTTAAAGCCGACTTACAAATGAGAAAATGGGCTCATGCCCTTTTCTACCTCCTCTCGGAGGATTAAAAATAGAATTGTTGTACAAAATGTTCTTTTCTTGGTGCCTTTCTCCGTGTGAAGGAATAAGGAAGGTTGTGACACCAGGCAGAACAAAAGAGCAAAAAACCAAGTTATTTGAATTAGGAAGGGCAGTTTGGTAATTTCCTTTTATTAGCAGCTGTTCTGTAATTAAAAATGCAGCAAACAGTTTGGAAAAGGTAATAATAATTATGCATTTGTGAAAGATCCATCACTCCAGGGCAGGGAGAAAAAAAAAAGAGAGAGAGAGAGAGAGACAGCTCCAATTTTCTGGTCTTCTGAGACATTTCCCAGGAAAATCAAGGCGGAGAAGGTTGCATACTTGTAATTTTAAAACAGAAATTAATCAGAACAATTTTGAAACGAGGAAAGGTCTGGAGCCTTTTCCATGTAATATAATTGGCTTGGAACTTGTTGAATGCATGAAGGGAAAGAAGTGAAATTAAACTAATACACTCAGTGGCTCCTGAGTGCTTTGCCAAGAAGGTCTTCAGTGTACAGAGTGTCAACATGCATAGTAACGACTCAAACTTTTATTAGCTGGGAGTATTTTCGTTACTGTTTGGCTCTATTCTATCAAACTAGCAAGATTTGCTGGATTTCTGACCCAGTTAGTTACACTTCTAGATCATAAGGTTTTGATTAACACCTCATTCATGAAAATGTCACCTTTGGTCCAGTAATTTTCCATTTTCACGTGTGGACAGACGGGCCCATCAGTGTTTCATATAATGAATGGCTAAACATGTATATATTTTATATATTTATATATGTGTTGAGGTAGGAAAGAGAAGCCAGGCTTGGTTTTCTTCTTTGGAAGCTGTATTCATGAATTTTATAAAAAACAGCCTATACCAAAATGGCAGGCAGGTGTATATACCTGTATTTTCTGTCTGTGAGCTCTCCTTGAGGCTTGGTGATTTTGTGCAAGTTTCAGGGAACATGTTTTACACAAAAACAGTGTCTATACCCTAGGTGGTCAAAAATAGTATTTGCTGTGCCTTTTTGAACATTTTTCCTGTGTATTTCTTTCCACCTAAATGCTCTAATGCCCTTGGGTAAATCTGCCTTTTTAATGATTTATGTGTCAAAAGCATGGACCAAATCACATGGAAAAAAAAGTTGAATTAGTGTCACCCAACTGCATCAGCATTTTTTCATGATGAATTTGGCCCTTATTTAGTTGCATTACTGCTGATGGGAGCTGGGGTGGGTTTGAACAGTTGCCATGTGCCAGGAGAAGGCTCAGATATTTTTCTAAATACTTGTACTGTGCACAGCTTTTATTAGTTGGTTTTATTTTGGGGGTTTGTGCTGCGTATCTATAGGAGATTGAGACAGAGTTTCCTTTTTGGTGCTGTTGATTCCGTGGCTGCTAGCAGGAGAGCTGAATTTTTACATTCACTTTTTATTTTATCCTCTGTGAAGGACATACACTCTCTATATACTACATTAAAGGCTTGCAAATACTCAGTGGGAAGAAGACGTGCCTTTTTGGTGTGTGTTTCTGTAAGGGTCGTCTTATGACCTAATGTGGAAATCTTCATTTGCCGATACAGCTGCGGGTGATCTCAGGGGATTTTGAATTTCCCTTTTGTTTGTCTTCCTTTCTGGGTATCATCCATCATTCCTAACCTCATGCTGCTTAGCAATAGTAACACTCATGGGAGTTGAAGAAAGGATTATAGCAGCATAAAATGGGGAGCTAATTAGAGCTTGTTTCAAAATCAGAATCTAGCTTGAGATAATTGCGTATTATCTGGTGATTTAAAAACGCGAGATCTACTGTATTTAGATCAACTAAAATATGCATAAAAGCTTTCTTTTCAAAATAAAGCATTTGTAACAACAGGGAGATTACTTCTTATCATCCCTTGGGAAAGGAAATTGGAAAAACTGGATGGTTTAGTGTCATTATGATATTAACAGAGAGATCGGGGTGTGATGGCAAAGCCAGGTATCCATTGCATTTTTATTTATGTAATACAGATTCCTGTAACATTTGCTAGTACAGAGGCTGCTGAGTGGGCAGGTAGTTAACTGTGTGCTGTGTGGATATTCCCATTTTCCTGATACCAGGAGAATTCTGTCCCATCAGCTACTCTGGGAGAAAAAGTAGGCAGAAACCAGGCTGGCAGCCCAAATTTGGGAATACCATCCTGATGCACTTCTGGGAAGAGCTCAGTTGCCTTGCAAAGGAGAAGCTCTTACCCCCATCTCCCTGTGGTTTATCATCTTTTCTTGCATTGTTCTGGTTTGTTTGGGTGGGCAGAGCTGTCCAGTGGTGGTCCAGAGCACAGCTGGGATTAGGGAGAGCTGAGTCCTTCCACTGTGACATCACCAAAGTGGTTGGTGCAGTGATGCTGACAGACCTTCCCAAATTGGAGCTGGTTTTTGTCGTTCAATCAAAAAATAAAAAAAGAGAGAGAGATGGTTTTGCAGTCATTTGCTGGCATTCCAGGTTAATAAAAATGTATGACATGAAATGTTTGTGGTTAATGTAGTCTGTGAAATGGAAGAGAAGGGAGATCACATGCCTCAGACAGCCGACTGCAGGAATTCCTTACAGAGATGTTTTGTGTTTGATGACCAATTATTGAGTCTTGGACTTGGGAAACTTGTGGCCTTTTGTGCTAGGTGCAAATGTGGTTTTAAAGCTCAGAGCTGAACAACTACGTCAGCCAGAGTTACCTTCATGCTTATCCCTGGAGCACGCTGGCACATCCTGGTGAAGTTTCCACATTCTTTCTGTGAGGTTTGGGATTGGGCTCAGGAGCAGTTGTCCGTGGCTGTCTTGATTTCAAACCATCGGGTATCAGTTGGCTCCTCATAAGGGCAGCTGTTGTAGTCTGTCTGTAACGTGTGTGATCCTCTTCTGTGCCATTTCCCTGACATTTGGACCATGAAAACCTCCCTGGCAGCCTTTCTGGTATCAATAAAACCAGGAGAATGGCTGTCAAGGCACCTCACTGGGACCTGGGAAGGCAGCATGAAGTCAGTGCCTCGAGTTGATCTGAACATAGCTCTGGCTGTGATTCCTGGCCATCAGCTGGGCATTCCTGCTGCCCGCTGGGGCTGCCCAGGCTGCCTCCCACTGCTCCTTCTCCAGCAGAAATGCTTTGCAAAGAGGCAGCATTTGTGGAGAAATTCCTCTCCTGCTTGTATTCTCTGTCCATGGAACCACCCAGTGATTAAATTTGTAGAAGACGACTCTGTCCTCACTGTGGTCACAGCTTTGCTGTTACAGAAGGGCTAAAGTAAAACACAAAACACTGTTTTCTAGGCAGATACTCCTTGTGACTTAATTCCAGTGTTCATGTTAATATAGCAAAGAGGAGACCTGTGCTGGAT